GGGGGGGGGGGGGGGAGAGGGGTGAGCCTTTCTCCTCAATTCCTCACCTGAGGCAGAGGAGGCTTTCCTACTTTGTAACCTCCTCTTAGAGCTCTCCTAAGCCCCAGGCCGCCCTTCCAAGGGATGCAGGCCACAGTCACACAGGACACACACCAACAACCATAGGTCATGGTCACCAGTAGTTGAGCCAGCACAGCCACCTGGACCACAGTGATAGGGGCTTGCTTATCACCCCAATGACACAACTCAGTCCCATGGTCCCACTAAGGGGCCCCTCCCAAATGCACAGGCACACAGGGACCTTCAAGACTTCAAGACGTACTTTTGATCACATATTCACACTCACAGTTTTGATCACATAAGGTGACCACAGCCATAGCCACCATTGTCACAGACACCAGGCAACTGGGCCGTCACACCAGTTGCTCATTCCCTCATTCATTTACTCCTTCCATAATCTTTGTTAGGCAAGATGCCCTACCTCAAGGAGCCTGCAGCCCAGTAGAAGGACAATAAACTGACCATTACAACGGGTTACAGTAGGAGACAAGACAAGGGTGCCAGAGGGGTCAAGGGAGCCCAAAGGAGGCCTGCCAGATTGAGGAGCTCAAAAAGGAACCCCCGGGGTGGGGGGGAGATGCCAAAGAGGATGTGTGGGAAGTGGCCAGGCACAACCTAGGGCCAGCATATTCCATTCACACGCAGACACACACAGCCTTGCTGTTGACATGGGCAGTCTCGGCATCACACGCCGATGATCCAGGAAACAAGACGTTGGACTGCCGGGCAACCCTGCCCGACGGCCCAGGCACAGACGCTCTCACCGAGCCCGCTCCTGGGACACGGTGACGCTCACTGTGCCCACTCCTCGCCGCCGCGGGTCGGAGGAGTGGCTGCTGGCCCCGCGGAGGGGACAGGAGAGGAGCCTGTGGCCGCGGGCTCCATTAGCATTCAGGGAAGCGAGTGTGCCAACGCGGGCCAAACCCCTATTCTTCTCACACACAAAACCCCCGGCCTGGCTGCCAGCCCCAGCTCCTGCCCCTCCCCCAGCCAAGCAGCCCCTCTTCCCCCAAACGGTCCACTTGCTCGGCGCAGCCTCCGGGCGCCCCTCTCGGGCCCGCAAGCATCAGCAGTGCAGCCCGGGCCCCCGGGCCCCAAGGAGAAGTGGGGCAAGATGTGGGGAGGTCCGGGGGCTTGGGGGCCCGCCCGGCGGAAGGACTCGCTCACTCAGGCCCAGAGGTAGTCTGCCGGCCCCCGGGGACCGGAGGCTGCTCCCCAGGCAGCGAAAGGAGGGTGCGAGAAGGGTCCCAAGAGGGACAGAGCGGGGCTGGGGGGCGGCGGCGGTGGGAAGACAGAGTCCGAGGCCCAAGGGATACGGGAGGATCGAGGTGAGAGGCCGGAGACAAAAGGATGGAGGGGGGCGCGGCCCGGGCGGGGGTCTGAGGGCGGCGAGGGAAGGGGGTGCATCGACGGGGCGGACTTGGCGGCTCCGCCGCGCTCCGGGCTCCAGCTGGGCCGGAGAACTCTGTCCTGGGCCCGGCCCCAGTCCCTGTCCCAGGTTTCTGTCCCTGTGCCCGTCCGTGGGGCCCCTCGGTTCGTGGGCCCCGGCTCTCCAGGGAGGCGCTCCGGCAGCAGCGCGGGGCCCGCGCCGAGGAGCGGGAGGGCAGGGGCCGCATCCTCACGGCCCCGGGAGAGTCCCGGATGGCCCCGTGGCCCCCCCGTCGCCCTTCCCAACACCCCCGGTACCTGGCCCGAGGCAGGCAAGCGTGGGCAAGCGGCAGCGGCTGACGATGAGGTCGAGCGGGAAGGCGCCCATGCTCCAGCGCAGGCCCGCCAGCCCGGCCGCCAACTTCTCCATGGCATGGGCTTCCCCGGGGCCGCCGTACCGGGGCCCCGACGGCC